ATGAGTTTATATCCTGTCTCATGATTGTCCTTGGCTGTCAAGTCTTCTCTACTTGGAAAGGATAGAAGTGTTTCTGACCTCTTTTGTTTGTCTCATTCTTGGGGCATAGTGACTGCTTTATGTCAGTAAAATTTCTGTAGGAAATGGTGATTATTAGAATCAGTATTTTTCCGTTCCCATTTTTTGGCTTGTTGAAGAAGTATACAAATGTCTTGTCTTTATCCTTTTTTCTAGTTTGATTATTTTGACCTTTACTCTAATTATTCAGTCATTTGACCACACTTGAATAGGTAATTCAGAAATGACTTCCTCATTGGTAATCAGCCCTTTCCTGTGGAACAGTGTTTCTTTTTTATATCATTCAGTAATTGCATGTCCAGTTCTTTCTTATTTTCCTCTTAAAGTATTCATTATATATGATGTGATGCTTCTTAGTAGTCAGCAAGCTTTTGGCTTCTTTAACTTCTTACTCTCAAACCATATTTTCAGCTTTTTTCAGCATTCTCACTTGTGTGATTCAATACCTCCACGTTGAAGTCGCCCTGTATTAGTGTATGTATTTATTTGCAGAATCTTGTAGTCTTCATGGAATTTCTGTACTTCATCCTCTTCAACAGATGTTGGTTCATCAGCTACTATTATTGTCTTCATAGTACTTTTTTTTTTTAACTAATGCTTGTAGGCACTGTTTGGTGAGGTGACCAAATGTCTCATGAAATGTTATTATCGTACTTTAGCCTAAGGTGAGACTCTGCCCACTTATATGCTGAAAACTTATAAGCTATCCTTTTATTTGGCTGCAACTTCTTTTTTGTCTTCTGGTGGTTCAAACTTGTATGTCTCTTATTCCCATCCCGTTTCATATTTATTCACCCCTCCCACTGTGCTTTCTAGAAGGTTTTATGCTATCCGTCTTGGAGCACTTCCTGAGACCTGACTCTCTTCTGGTGGCACAGCATCCTTGCCCCCCTTTTCCAAAACCATCTGTGCTTTCTTTTATATTTTCCAGCTTGCTGGTTGTGGTGGGGGTGTCCAAATATTCCTTTCTCCCTCTTATACTTCCAGACCCTCACTTAGCCACCATCACTCTGTAGTAACCTCTCTTCCTTTGAGATTCATTCAATTCATATTAATCACCCAGTCAAGAGTCTGGTAGCTGTTCTCTAGCCAGCACTAAGAACCTCTGTTCTCAATGAGTTCAGTGCCTGGCTCACAGTTTTTCCTCCCCAACTCCCATCCTCACACTAGGGCAATTCAGCTTGCATATCGATACTCCCTCAAACACTTAACTTTCCATTTCCTTATTTCTCATGACCTTCTCTACCTCAGCTACCCACAGAGATGGTTATGCCTGTGATCTGATCCATCACCCACAAGTGTCCCACTTCCATGTTTATGAACTCCAGAATTCCTTTATCTGACCATAATCTTTGAATGCTAAATCTTTCCCATGGTCTTATGACCTCTAGTCCTGTTGCTGATCCTCATTGTCACCTTAGTCCCTCTACTTTTCAGTTCTTTTGTAGATCATTGGACCTACATAAGCTGTGCTCTTATTTCCTTATCCTAATCCCTTGGTGAAACAGTCCAACTCTACATTAGCATCTATTCATTAATCCCTTGCCCCATTGGCCTGCCAAGCCTTACCAGTCCTTAACTTTAGATTACTCTAACCATCTGCTGCTGAATGTAGTTGGAGAAAATTGTGAAATTGTTCTCACTCACTGGTTCTGCTACAAATCTATGTTACATATTCTTAAGTGGACCTGCATTGCAGCAAGGCAATCATTATACCTTCCTAATCAGTTGATTTTCCCAGTCATGACAGTGGCCTTTCCAAGCCGTTTCGTGTCTCTTCAAACTTCCTCTGGCTTCTCCTTCCCCTTGGATTCACTTGTTATCTCTATGCTGATGTTTCTTAGTTCTGTTTGTCAAGCCTTAATCATCTCCAACTGCCTATTGGACATCTTGAATCAGATGTATCATAGACACCTTAAATTTAACATGTCCAAAACTAAACTCATTATTTTTCTTTCTCCACCCTCAAATCCTATTATTGTCAAAGGTACCAGTATCCTCCCATTCACCTAGGCCCATAACCTACTTATAATTGCTTCCTCACTCTGGCTCACTCTCATATCCAGTCTGTTGTTAAGTCCTCACTTCTCTCTTCAAAACATCTGTCATATATCTACTTCTTTCGTCTGATGCAGCCACTAGCAAGGGACAGGCAGTTGTCGCCTCATGTCTGGACTATTACAGTAGCCTGCTGGTTGGTCTCCCAGTCCCAAGTCACTTTACACTACGGTCCATCCTCCACTGGACTGCCAGAGTGGTCTTCCTAAACTGTGGATCTGACCACGTTACCTCACTGTTCAATGAACTCCAAATGTGAGATTCTCTGTTTGGCTTTTAAAACTCTTTACAACCTACCCCTTCTTACCTTTCCAGTCTTTTCACACTTTTCTCTCCTCTTTGTACTCTCTGAACCAGTGACACTGGCCGCCTTGCTGTGCTTTGCAAAAGGTGTTCTATCTACAGACTTTGTGCATTTTCACTGGCTGTTCCTCATTGTGGTTTCTGAGAATACACTTTGGAAAAAGTATTCCACCCCACCTCCAAATGTAATAAATGGTTGGTTGAGCACATTTACCCCCAAAGAGTTATGTACAACAACTTAATAGTGATTCTGATTGATCATACTTGTCACTTAAAACTTTTGTTTTTAATAGATTGCTAACAGAAGGTTGGGAGATGCCGTTTTATTTTAGTTGCTTGATAGCACCATCGCCTCTGCCACTCCGCTACCGTCCCTGCAAAAGCAGAAGGTAGAAGCGCAAGCCTGAGGCAGTTTGTATCGTGTCTTTATCCTAGTGCCGAGTACAGCCGTTGGCACTGGTAGGCCCTTAATCCTCGGGTGATGATGAGCTGCCTCTCGGGTGTGAATCAGCTGATGGTCACACACTCAGCAGATGATGAATCCCTCTCCAGACTTTGAGGCTGTCTTGGGCAGCAGGTACAGCCCATGAACCCGCATACCTCACCTGGTATAACCTGCCAGAGCTCGGACGCTGTTGACACAGAGTCACTAGAGCAGCGCTTTCATAGAGGGCATAAGATAACGCCGTCACTGCTCTGACATGGGGGTGTGGTAGGACCACCCCGGGATGTTCCTTGGTGGCAGAAGTAAAGTAGTGAAAGCGCCATACGTGTGTCAGTTAAAGGCTTTTTTATTTCTTTTAAAGTTATTCAAACTACTTACAACTTAAGGCAAAAATGTGGGAATTATTATCTGAAAGTGCCATTTACTCTTCTATTGTCATGGTGTTGGAACAAGAGGAAACTCTGACTTTCTGTAGTCTTGGAACCATCAGCAGTCAGGGTTTAAAATTGAGGAAGGGTAAAGACTTGTACCTGAGTGTGGGAGCTGTTGTATGAGTTCTTACAGTGCCACACCCACCCACGTTCAAGTGTAACAGTAAAGTTAGAATCCTAAAGTGAGTGTTTTTAGATTCTTTTATTACTTATACTCTTACTCCATTAATCCAGGAAATAGAAAGGTAATTGTATTGTTAACTTTGAAGAAAAAATTAGATATTTTGTATCTGGTTTTCAGGTGTGTTTTGGAGGGACTGAAGTTGACATAATACTTCTGTATGTACACAAATATGATAGATTGTAGAGTATGGTAGGGAGATATAATAATATAGTGTGTTAGGGGAGACAGAGAATTCCAACAGAATACTCTAGGAAAACTGGAGGAGAAAGAGAATACTTTCAGGTGAATGTGATTAAAGAAGGCCTAAATCTTGGAGGATGTAACATCCAAGTTGAGCCCTGAAGGAAGAATAGGATTTTTAACAGACACAAATGAAGAAGGGTGAAAATACATTCCAGGAAATTGGGACACTAACGCACTATTGGTGGAGTTGTGAACTAATCCAACCGTTCTGAAGAGCAATTTGGAACTATGCCCAAAGGGCAATCAAACTATTAGTATCCTTTGATCCAGCAATACCATTACTAGGTCTATATCCCAAAGAGATCATAAAAAAGAGAAAAGGACCTACATGTGCAAAAATATTTATAGCAACTTTTTTTGTGGTAGCAAAATATTGGAAATTGAGGGGATGCCCATCAGTTGGGGAATGGCTGAACAAATTGTGGTATATGAATGTAATGGAATACTATTGTGCTGTAAGAAATAATGAGCAGGCAGATTTCAGAAAAACCTGGAAAGACATGTATGAAGCAAAGAGAAATGAGCAGAATTAGGAAAACCTCGTACACAGTAATAGCAACACTCTGATGATCTATTATGAATGACTTAGCTCTTCTCAGCAGTACAGTGATCCAAGACAGCTACAGAAAACTCAGGATGGAAAATGCTATCCGTATTCAGATAAAAAATTGGTGGACTCTGAATGCAAATCAAAGCATACTATTTTCACTTTATTTTTTGGTGGATTTTTTTCCTTTTGGTCTGTTCCTTCTTTCATAAAACTGTGACTAATATGGAAATACATTTTACATGATTGCACATATATAGCCTATATCAAATTGCCTACCATTTTAGGAGGAGGGAGGAGGGGAGGCAGAGAGGGAGAAAAATTTGGAACTCAGAATCTTGTAAAAAGTGAATGCTAAAAGTTGTCTTTACATATAATTGAAAAAAATAAAATACTACCATTGAGATCAACAGGTAAAAAATAGGAGGGAAAAAAAAAGGAAATACATTCCATTTGTGGGATATGATCTGTGTCAGTAAAGGAGGTGAGAGTGAGCAGATTGAGATAGAATACCTCAAGGATTCCTGTAAAGGCACATTTTGAACAAGATGCCCTTTGAGATCCCTTCCGACAATCGGATTCTGTATTGTTTTTTTGCCACAAAAAAAAGTTGGTTCTGATGGAGATTTATCTAGTCTAGATGTCTTGTTTCATAAAATTTACTTCAGTCCCATTGGCTTATAATTTACTATTTTGTGTAACTTTTTTTAGGTACCCTATGAAACACTGAACAAGCGTTTTCGAGCTGCACAGAAAAACATTGACCGAGAGACTAGTCACGTCACCATGGTAGTTGCAGAATTAGAAAAAACACTGAGCAGTTGTCCTGCTGTCGATTCAGTTGTTAGTCTCCTTGACGGAGTAGTTGAAAAGTTAAGTGTCCTCAAGAGAAAGGTAAGTGCTGTTTCAGTATTTTTTGGTGGAATATTTTCACATGACATACTATTTATATTTAAGCCTAAATTTATGCAACTCCCCTTCCCCCTCACAAAAATAAAATTTGCTGAATCCTTAATATAAATTTTCCTCAAAAGGATGAATTTACATAGCGATACACTGGAAAAAAACAGCATTATTTATATGCTATGCTCCCCTTTTATATAAGCCATAATTGGGGGTGAAGGAGTCTGTATCCTAGAACCACATTGCAATTTTTTGTGGATTTGTTTGCAAGATGAAATAATGGAGAAGTGGCACCTTCTATTATGTAGTCTTGGATTTAATTTATGAACTCTTACAGTAAAAAAAACCCCTCAGTTCCAAAGAATTAATATAGTTGCCAAAGAATTAATATAGTTGTATATTGTATATGCATTTTTAAAGGCATCTGTCAGCCTGCTGAAATGTCATGACTAGTGTATCCATACATGTACATGTAGTAGACAGGTCAGATCTGTATCTATTAAGATAGAAGAACCAGATGGATTTCAGTATGTTTTATAGTTTTAAATTATAGCTTTAAGAGAATAATTTTTTGCTGTTTTCTGCTTGTCTAGGATGTGTGGTAGCTTTAGAGGATGCCAAATGTGTCATGAAGGGCTTCTAGGTTCTCAAAGCCAGAACTTGGACCCAGGTCCTATGACTATAAGTCCAGTGCTCTTGCCACCATGGCACAAAGTTTCTTCTAATGAAAGAAGCAGAGTACTTCATAAATTACTAGAAATATTAAAAATTTAATCTTTTTCTGTGTTCCTGATGAACAGTGAATTAGTAACAATGTTAAGAAGTTTTTTTGTGGGGTTTTTTGGGGTTTTTTTTTTTTGCTTTTTCTTTTTTGGTAGAAGTTTTTGAACCTACCAAGGATTTAATTTGTCCAAGATACCTTTCCACATTAGAGCCCATGTGTATGGGGGGGGTGATGGGGGGTAAAAGCATAAAGATGGGAGAAAAGATTAATTGTTTTTTAGGGGTTGGGGGGGCTTTTGGTTTTTTAAAGTATTTGTTAGAGGTGGGATAATTAACACTATGGAAACCTTAGGAAATTCTCTGCCCTGTCATAGGGCAACCAGATTCTTCTGTTTGGCATTTTAAATGTTTTTATTTGTTTTTAAGTTCTGCCTTAAAGCAAGGTTTTGCCAGTAGAAAAAAGGAATTGTCACCTTAATTATTTCAAAAATTATGCTTGGATATATAAAAATTGATAAGTCATTTTAAAACTATCTATTGATAGCACATTTACAGAAGCAGTGGTAAAGATTTCTTTTTGATGAACACACAAAACATGATTTCTCTGTTTTGTTATTTCATTTTTATTACTTTTTATGTATCTGTATGTGTATATTTCTATTAAAAGTGCAGCTAGAGATGAGTTAGATCTGAACAGAATTAAAAAGTAGTCATTATTTGCAAAATAGAGGCAGCTAAATGGCACAGTGGATAAATTGCCAGGCCTGAAATCAGGAAGACTCGACTTCCTGAGTTCAAATCTGGCTTCAGACACTTGTTAGCTGTGTGACCCTGGGCAAGTCACTTAATCCTGTTTGCGTCAGTTTCCTCATCTGTAAAATGAGCTGGAGAAGGAAATGGCAAACCACTCCAGTATCTTTGCTAAGAAAGCCCCAAATGGGGTCATGGAGAGTCAGATACAACTGAAATGATCAAACAACAAAATTATTTGCAAAACAAATCTCAGTTTTGTTTTGTTTTATAAGGTGTGCTAAGTCCATGCCGTGACATGAAATGAGTATGCTTTGATGAACAGTAGAGTAGCCAGTTAAGCAACAAGTTCATAGAGTGCTCTATGACATTTTACAGGATGGGATTTTGCCAGTTATTGAGCGTTGTTAACCATTTATGAAATGAAACTGGTCAGACAGGATTCTTCAAGCTTGGAAGTAGGATCCTACCATCTAGAATGTTCCTTCTAGTGTTCACAGTTAATTTATTGCTCTTTCAGTTATGGATTTTTAAAAATAGCACTTTATAAACCATACAGATCCTTGTTCCATTTACTTCAACAAAGTGTAATGCTTTTATGTAGTCTTCATAAAACTCCAGAGTTGAAGTTGGTAGAATCAGAGCTGGAAGGCAGATGTCATTTGTTAGAATGAGAGAATATTGAGGTCTGTGGAGGTAAAGTGATCTTCCCAGGCCACTGCCCGTGGAGAGTGGGCAGTGAATGACAGTGCTGGGATTTGAATTAGGCTCCTCTAACTCTAAATACATCATACTTTCCATTGCATCATAAATCAGCAACAGAAACCTAATAAAGAGGTAACATCTTTCCTACCAAAACATAAAGATTGACTGGAAGAGAAGGACCTGGAATGTTTGAGTCAAAGGTTCTCCTATAGACTCCAGAGAATCTTGTGGTTAACAAGGAACCTGACCCCTTCCTCAGGGTCCAAGGGCAAGAACCTTTCATTCCTGTGCACTGCTCAACTCCTGGTCAAAGAAGCCAAGGACATTGAGTGTCATTTGACCATGGAAAGAAGAGAGCCTACCCCGCTTCTAATCAAGGGCATTGGGAGCAACAGAGTTTCCATTGCCAAAACACTTTTTTCAGAAGTACCCACTTGGGGAATACAAGAGTCATGTTCCCATTTTTATCAATAGAATAAGTACTCTGAGAGGCCATGACTTTGGGCCACTTGCTGGCCTGCTGTGTTTTTCTGTGGAGAAACACTTGAAAAGCTGCTTCTTCCTTTTCTGTCTTGTTTCACCTGTAAGAACTCTGTTTTTAACCTCAGCTTTTGGTGCTTCAGTGGCTCTTCTGACTCATTTCATATGATGAGCTAGTTTTATGGTTTTTTGTTTAATAATATGTACAGAACCGCTATTGTTCACTTCCAGAAGTTGTATCTACCTCATTTTGTAGTAGTTGAACTGATAACATAGATAAAACTGAAAATCAGGTCAGAGCTTTATTTACTTAACTCTCTGTGACATTTTAATTGACAGGGCCCTATCTCCATTCTTCTAAAGAAAGACCAGCTTTAACTATCTGCCAAGATCCACTTTCACCTTACCTGCCCCTACCAATATTTTTCTAGACGTCAACAATCCCTTGAGTCTCTGCTTTTAAAGTCTTAGTAGCTTTTTCCTCTGGGCCTGAAGGCTGCTTCTGATGGCCTGATATCAGTATAAAATGCTTTCCTTTCTAGGGAGGACATATAAGTATCTGATCCTGGGTGGTCTCTCTGTACATAGATAGTTATATCAAACTTAATAGGAAATATCCTATATAATATTTGTTTCATTGCATTGTATTAAATTCTGACATTGTTGAAAAGGAATTGTGTGCTAAGTAAGCAGTTTTGTTGAAGTGACCTTGTGAGAACTGAATTTAAACTCCAGGTCTAGCATTTTTAAAGTAAGTTTTTCAGCCTAGCTTATCTAGAACTGTACAGTTTTCACAAAATAATGTTGATTTTGATAAGTGCAATATCTGTCTGCACTGCTGATTATCAAGAGTTATTATCTAAGTTCAGCCTAATGTAGAATCAACTTGAGAAATTTTAGAGAAAGTGAATAATCCAGATCAGTAGCTCTCCACTTAGGGCCACTATTATAGAAAATGTTCCCTAAGTTCCAGAGTGGAGTGGGGAATGTAATGACACAGCTGTAAAGACGGTGTATGCCCTAAACAGTTCCTTATTCTTTTTTTCCCCCTAAAGTAATGTGTCATGGAAGCAAGACATTCTGTTTTTGTTTAATTGTTTTTGATGGGGTAAAAAAACCCTATATTTGGAGTTATAAGCTGTCCCCAAGTAAAATGATTAGACTTGATTATCTCTAAGGTACTTCGAGTTCTAAATCTTACCATTTTATGTGCTATCTGGGCCTAGATAAGCCAGTTGTTATGAGGACTTCACCTCAGGGTTCTCATCTATAAAATGGGAATAATTATATTTCTACTACCTCCCTCATAGGCTTGTTGTTGTGTTTAACAGCTATGTAATTCTGAGAGGATTATTTTTTCTAATGGAACTATATTCAGTATTCCACAAACATAGTCCTGCACCTCTGTCAAGAAGGTATGAAAGTATATTATGTCATTTTTCCTGAACCCTTCTTGGTCATTATAATTACAATTTAATTTTTGTGTTTGTTCTATTTACATTATAGTCATTGGGTATACTGTTTTTACTTACTTTGTCCTAGAATAGTTCATCGTGCTTCTCAGAATTCTTCATACTTATAGTTTAACCCTATATTACTTTTCAGCTTAGGACGCAGTCATAGTTCATTACGTTAATATGCCAAATGATGATTATCTACTTTGTTTCCAGTTCTTAGCAACCACAAAAAGTGCTGCCATGAATATTGGGGTGTGTATTGGTCCTGTGATTGGAGTGTGATCCTTGGGTCAAACAGTATGAACTTTTTAGTCATTTTTTTTTAAAATCATGATTCCAGACTGCATTCCAGAACAGATAAAATCACAGCTCCATCAACAGGGTATTTAGTCAGATTTTGTATCAGTTAAACATTGAATTTTTGCCAGTTGCACCTATGAATTCATCTCAATTTTACTTTAAACATTTTCCTTGGCATCTGTTTTTGAAAGACTTCATTATATTGACTGAGTTTTACAATATAGAAGAATAGTTTTGCCACATTGATTTTTTTTAATTGACTTTAAACAGTTGTGATGAGTAAGTGTCATGTGTCACCTATATTTCTGATGCCCAGTCTAGCTGCTGTTCTTTGTTCTAACATCCTAGGCAGTCGAATCAATCCAAGCTGAGGATGAGAGTGCAAAGTTGTGCAAACGCAGAATTGAACACCTTAAAGAGCACAGCAGTGATCAGCCAGCAGCTGCCAATATGTGGAAGAAAAAACGAATGGATCGCATGATGGTGGAACATCTTTTGCGCTGCGGCTACTACAACACAGCAGTTAAACTCGCCAGGCAAAGTGGCATTGAGGTTGGTGTGCGTTTTCCCAAATGGGATTTGTAGAAATGGAGAAATGGCTCATTTAATACATTACTTAATGTGTCTGGATTGCTTAGAAAGGAAAGTGTTCCTCAGATCTACATCCTTCCCAGAGCCATAAGAGAGCCAGATCTTATAGGTACAGTCTCGGTGCTCTGTTTCTTACTTCCCTCCAAAGGACCTACAGAGCCTAGACAGCTGCTGGATAGAGGGTCAGATGGTCAGGGTGCCTCTGTTTGTGTCGGGCAAGATCTTAATAGGGTGCATCAGCATAAACAGAAGAGGACTTGTTAATGGGACATTTTGATATCAACAAATATAAACAAGGACAGTTATTAGTTCAATTCTGTGTCAACAGAAAGAGAGAACATGTAGAATTTAGATTGTTGTATAGTTTTCATTATGCTGACATTTATTTAAATTTCTGACCCTGTCTTGGCTCATTGGCCAATCTTTCTCTTGGCTGGTTGGATTATTTTAATTTAGGATAGAGTGAATATATTTAAATGAATTTTATTGACTAATTTGAGGGAGATGTAGAAGAATTAAATTCTTCAGGTTTCTATCCTACCTTGAATGCATTGATTGATTGATTGATTGATTTGCTTATGGAGTACTTTTTTCAGTATGGTGAAACTGTTGATCAAAATAAACATTGAATTAAAGGAACCAAGAACTAGTAGATATGCCTCTAAAAATTTAGTGGGTTTTTCCCCCATATTGGAAATTTTAATTTTTTCCCTAATAGTATTGCTTTGTAACTAATTAACAGTGAAGGACTATCCTTTGTACAGGTGGTGTGTGTATTTGTCAATGAACTTTTCTCTCCTGCTTTTTTGAAAATTGAGAGTACATGATGAGAGAAATTGTAGAGGAAGATTTTTCCCCCATTCCAACATCTGCATTTTTTTCTTTAATACCCTTAGAACTAGCTAGTTAGTTAAAATAGTGTTACAGTTAAAATTTTTAAAGTTTTGTTGTAATTTTATTCATTGGGTATGATCTGTGTTTTAATATCTGACTTTTTAAAAAATAAATTGAAAAGGGGTCCATTTTTGTAGATAGAAGATAAACCGTTTTTTAAAACTATGATGACATCAACATAAAAAACGAGAATGAGCACCATCTCTTTCTCTACAGTCCACATAATGTAAGAAGCAGATACCTTAGGACATGCTGTGCTGGAGCAGATCCAATTAATCCAGCCTTCTGTCTGTCTCTGGACGGTATTACTTTCTGTGACACATACCCTCTGAAAATTAGGAATGGGTCCTATGCCCCCCATCACCGTGACAGTAATAATGATGATGATGAGCTTCCCTTGTTATTGCCTTGTGAATCTGCCCATGGCCATTTCAGAACCCTTTCTCAATTGAGCTATAAATTAATAGGCATGTAATTTTAGAGTTGGAAACCATTTTATAGATTACCTGGTTCAAGTCTTTCATTTTACCAGTGAGAAAACTGGGACCCAAGGAGGGGAGGTGAATTGATTGCTCAAGATCATACAGTCTGTTACAAAGCCAAATCTGGAATCTAGTATTACTGATTCCCAGAGAGATGTGGGTTTTCCTATTATACCACACTAACATTAATCGTCTTTTCATATTTTGGGATAAAAAGTTATATATTAACTGAACAAGTGTTCGGTTATATCTGTATCCTCCATTCACTAGAGTATGTGTAGATACACATAGGCATGTACATATCTGTATGTATATCCACATAGCTTAGTATATGTATAGTATATACATTTTTATATACACAGCATATTCTATTATAGTGCATGGGAATTTTGTCTCATTCATATATTATGTCATTTGAATATATTACTTTTAAAATTTTTGTGTGTTAAGTAGTCTGTGAGCTTTATTTTTCTCCTGTTCAGTAACTGTGTAGCTTAGTTTGCTTTTCTACGCCGACCATCAGAATTAAGACAGCTGAGTGGCACAGTGGAAGGAGTGCTGGACGTGGAGTCAGGAAAACCAGAGTTCAGGTCCAGCCTCAAGACACTTACTAGTTGTGTGATCCTGGGCAAGCCACTTAACTTTTGCCTTCCTCAGCTCCCTCATTTGTAAAATGGGGGTAATAATAGCACCTACTTTGTGATAAGAAAAATGAGAAAATATCTGTAAAGTGCTTTGCAAACTTTATAGCATTATTTAAATGCTAGATATTGTAATTGCTTATATATATTCCCCTTTAGAATCTGAGTTGAAAGGAAACTTGCTTAGGTCATCTAATCCTTTCTTCAGTTTGGGGGGAGGGGTAAGAAAAGGAGGAGGCAAATCAAAGCCTTGCCTTCTGAGGAAATAGTAGTAGAGACTTCTTGTTTTACTTAGGTTATTAACTGAGATTGACAATTCAGCTGTATTTCCTGGCTTTCCTTTCCTGTTTTAAACAGCAGCATGTTCTCATATTTCTCGTGACTTCTACTGTGTTAACCTGGTCCCAATCATGCATGCCCCCAAAGGAAAATTATTCAAGGGCGACCTGAATGAAGTAAAAACAATTTCATTTATTGATATCAAAGACAAACACTTTTTAAAAAAATTTTTTTAGGGACTTGGGGTTAAGTGACTTGCCCAGGGTCACACAGCTGGTAAGTGTCAAGTGTTTGGTCTGAGGCCAGATTTGAACTCAGGTCCTCCTGATTCAAGGCCAGTGGTCTATCCACTGTGCCACCTAGCTGCCCCTTAACCAAACACTTTTAAACTAAAAAGAGGTAATATAAAAACTATTTTAGAAACAAAACAAATAATTGATTTATTTCCTTTCTCTGTGATGGCCATTTAAGAGAAATATTAAGAATGAAATAAATTGGGGGCAGCTAAGTGGCACCATGGATAGAGCACTGACCCTGAAGTCAGGAGGACCTGAGTTCAAATCCGGCCTCAGACCAAGCACTTGACACTTACCAGCCGTGTGACCCTGGGCAAGTCACTTAACCCCAATTGCCTAAAAATAAATATAAAAAATAAAAGAATGGGATAAATGAAGAATAGAGAGTAGAAAAACAGATATATAGGTACACCCACACAAAAAGGAATTTTAAAAAAAACTTGTAAGCTATTGCCACTGAGCACTTAACAGCCTTTTTTTTTTTGCAGTTTTGCAATGGCAGCTATACCGTAAAGTGCATATTTTAACATGTGTTCCACCAAAGCTGGTGAAAGGAGGGGGTCAAATATAAGGGGTGGTGGCTTCCTACCCTGCCAGTATACCCTGCCAACATAGAGAGGAGATCTGTTCTTTTAAACATCTCATGTTTAGGTTTCATCAAATTGAAAAGCCTAACGTTGATTTTCTTTTCTATGAACATAGATAACTATTATTAGGAAGATAGTGGGAGTGATCTTGCAGTGTTTAGAGCAATGCAATCAAATACTTTTTTGTGAAGCTTCATAATTTCCCACTTCTGATTGTTGCATAGATTCTGTTCAGCAAGTTTATAAATTATTTTTAGGTTAAAATATTTTGAATCAGTCAGAATCTGATCACTGCCTCCTGTCTTTTAATTACGTGATTTCTAAGCCATTGTGGGGGGGAGGGGAATTCTGTTTCTCTTTAATGAAGTGAAATTAAAACAAGGCTATATTTTGATAATTTCTGAAAGTTCACAATTAAACTTTCTAGACTAACAACAATGCTTTACTTATCTGAAATGCTTTTGTCTGAAGACCAACTGAAAGTTAAGAACCAGATCCTAAGCAGCCAAAGTAGCTGTGACAAAACCTGTGTTCAGTAACTTTACTCATAGGAAAATTTCTTAGACTTCACTGAGAATATTACCTGTTCGTACTTGACACAGTTCTGTCAAGCTTGGTTAGATTAGGTTAAAAGGATCTAATAATATACACTGACGTTTTCAATCCAGTTTGTGTTTGGTGTCTACTGTGTGCAGAATACAGTTCTAGGCACTGGGATGTAGAGTTTTAAAACAGTCCTTGCCTTCAAGAAGTTTACAGTCTAATTGGGGAGAAAGGAGTATTAAGGTATGTAAGTAATAAGAAAGATGTGGGATTAAAAGTGACAAGAGAGAGAGACAGAGACCCAAATGCCTAGACATACCTGTGAATTGTCAGCAAAGAAGAAAGCAGAACCTATCATACATAAACGTGGATAGCCGAGCCTGGCACCATTTAGTTGTGCTCCGCTCTAGCTGTATTAAATGTGCTCATGGCCCAGAATTATCAAGCAGTGGTTACGTTGTATTCAGTACACTCTGTTTAAAGTGGCTGGGAAGCTTGTAATCCATTTATAAGATAGCTATTAAAAACCTTTTGTACAGTTGTGCTTATGATGTTAAACTGAGCTACATGAAACAATTCATTCCCTGAGGCTTATTTGAAATATTGAATTAAAAAGTGTGGCAAAAGGCCCATGTGTAGTTTATTTAAATAATAGAAATTCGAATGTAACTCTTCATAAATGTTACTGCATTTGATACTGCATTGGACCTGATGATAATTGCGATGTATAAAAAGTTCAAGAGACATGATTTCTGGGTAATTATTTTATTAATCATGCTACCAATGATTAATAAAAGGGGCCAGTGATACTTTCAAATGGCAACGACCCCTCATGGGACCCACTCACCACTTATATGCCTTTGGAAGAGTGGGTGTTCCTGAGGGTGGCAATCAACTCTGGTTAACAGTTAATGAGAAGAATGAATATTATATTGAGAGGTGGGGTTATTCTAATGAGGGGATGGAAGACATGACTGATCATCCAGTCTTGGTCAAAGAGACTTATCTATATATCCATATCGCCCCATCTAGGGTAATCTAGACAAAAGGGAGAATCCACTTTTTTCCCAGTTCTGGGTAAAACACAATGGGCCAAAATGTATCAATTCACCTAAACTAAAATTTCCTTATTTTCTAAACAGATCTGAATTTTTCCTCTCTGTATCAGCCCTGCACTTCAAAGGCTGCCTGAATAACCTACAGGGACTGATTTCTGAATGAGGAAGGAGAAAAGAGGAA